AATTACACTACTCAACACTAGAATTAGGCTGTTGCCCAAAATATCTTTTTCTTATAGATTTCGGGGTTTAAAAATGTTTAACGAATTATGGTTTTTTTATACCCGTACTCGAAAAAGAGTTAAGGGGTATATTAGATTTGTGGTAAAAGTGGATGTGTGTAACGCAGAGAAGGAAACGTTTCCGACCCCATAAAGTATATATATTCTTGATCAGCATCAATAGCCGAGTCGATATAGCCATGTCTGTCTGTCCGTCTGTCTGTCTATCCGTCTTGTTGAGCGCCTAGATCTCAGAGACTTTAAGAGCTAATGCAACCATATTTGGTTTCCAGGCTCATGTGATATCACACTGCTACAAGTGTATTTCAAAATTTTGCCCCGCCGCCTTCCACCCCGACAAAAGACGAAAATCTGTGGCATGCACCATTTTAAAGATACGATCAAATTTAAAACGCAGTATCGTAGAGAATGACCATATCTGACAGATATGCCGAATCTGAATTAGATCGGATCATAATAATAGCCAGAATGAAGAAATTAATTTTCTGTTGGTTCTTCCGCCCCCTCCTGACAGAGACCCGCTACCAATCTCTTTCTCGCTTTCACACTCTGCCGCGTTCAGTGCGCGAGCGCCCTCTAGCGAAAAAGATGTAGAATCTAAATGTTACATGTAGAATCTACATGTTAGATGTAGAATATGCACTGTAGATGTAGATAGCAGATGTAGCAAAAAAATGTAATATATATAACATTTTTTTTGTATTCTAAAATTCTAAAAAATCATGCTCAAAAATGTATATACTGACTGAGTACGGGTATAAGTAGAGTCGCGTCCCCAGAAGCGACTCGCCTGTTCCTTCTCGTTTTTTTTAAAGAATTTTTTAAAATCTGTTTTTTTTTTGTTTTTTTTCAGAGGTAGTGTATCTTATATCTGGTTGCATGGTTCTTTGCAGTTCTGAAAAACTGACAAACGCAGCTATAAATCCGACCCAGACCCTTTGTATCTGCAACTTAACGCGTCGTTTAAGGTATTGTTCGTTAAAATCTATGGATAAACGGTGGAGCTAAAGTTCGTGAACAAAACCTCAAAAGTGAAAAAATAGACAAAAAATACTTTTCGGAAGGTTGCGGGCCCAACTGCCAATTGGAAGCAAAGCAAACGAAAAGGGGTTGAATTTTTTTTTAAAAGTATTTTTATTTTAATTTAAAAGCTTAATATCTTCCAGGCGTTGCAGATACAAAGTGTCTGGGAACGATTTATAGTTGCATTTGTCAGCTTTTTATAACTGCAAAGTTCTATGCAAGCAGATATAAGATACTTAAGTTATGTGAAAAATAAAAGCACTAATTTCAGGTAAAATTAGTTTTGAGTCGTTTTGGTCAAACGGCTGCAAGTTAGACGACGCCTAATTAATGCGTCTATCTAAAACGAAAAATGTGGGCCAAGAATAATTTTTTTTCGACTTTTCCCAAGTTTTTAAAGTCAAAATTTCGAAAAAAAAACCGCAAAAAATGATGAAATTTGACTTTGAAAGCTTAATATCTTTCAGGCGTTAAGCTGCAGATACAAACAGTCTGGGTCGGATTTATAGCTGCATTTGTCAGCATTTCAGAACTTTGCAACCAGATATAAGATACTGCAGTTATGTGAAAAAATAAGCACAACCTCTAAAAAAAAACATGCACAAAAATACAAGATTTTAAAAATTCTTTAAAAAAAATTACATAAAACAAATAATAAAGAATTAAAAAAATTTTTAAATCCGGAAATCTATCAGAAAAAGTAATTTTGATTCACAGCCTAAATAAAAAGTTCCATTTTGTCGAGTAGTGTAATTATTCCTGGAGTGAATGGTGCAATATGTAGGAAAAACCGGTGCGAAAAACCAAAAAGAGAGATGAAAAATATCACTTTTTTCTTATGCAACAATATATGCCGCCACCAACACAATCACTTCATCGTCAGAGTGCATTTTTGTTTCCTTCTTTAATTTTAGTAGAATTTCACAATTGGCAGTGTTTGCAAATTGCAAATATATGTTTTAACACAATCAGTTACTCGTCATTCATTTTTATTCTTATTTTTTCACGCTGTTTCTTTATATTCCACGCATACGGAATAACTAGCAAATGGCCTACAATTATTCCTGACGTAAATAGTGCAAGATGGAAGGGATGCAAGTTTCTCCTTTGTTTTTCGCAAACATACAGGTGTGCCACAGAAATTACTTCCGCTGGAAAATCACCTCACTTCCATTCTGCGGTGCCACACACCGATATTTCAGCGGAATCAAAATCGCTCACAATTTATCCAGCGAGTTGATTAAATACACCCATAAACACACACCTAAAACGATTCGAATCTTACTTTCCCCAAAAGGTTGTTCAATTGGTGATTAACCCTCGTCCAAATAATTTAACATTATACATGTTAGGTTAATAAAATAAGCATTTTAGTAAATCACTATCCAATCCGCTGACTGAATTTTCACTTAACGATTCTGCGCTCAATCCGCTGCAGTCCGAGGTGGCCACCTAGGCCGATTCAGACTTTCGAAGTTAATACAGTAACTCCACCTTTTTTAAGCCGAATTCGGAGCAAGATATTTAATATTAATTATATTGAAAGCATTCTGTTTTTCTTTAATTAAGCATAACAAAAAATAGGTCATTGTAGTAAAACTTCCTTTACGTCAAACATGTGCATACTTTTTGTGCAAATTGTGAAAACATTTGTAGTCATTTGTAGTTCTACCACGTGGCATCGATTCAAAATGCCAAAACATAACTAAAAAACCATTTCTACACATTATTGCTATTGCATTTATGTCAAAAACTCTTGTTCGGCTAAGTGCAGACCCATGGCATCACATATGGAAGCATATCGATCATTATACCAAAAACTGGTAATTGTAATGAACTAAATTAGCAGTAGTTTGAGAAGACAATCACAAAAACCACATACATACGTATCATCTGAACGCGACACCGAGAAGCCTGCGCTGAAAGGTTTGTATTCTAATATGTTGCCTCCGTAGTTCTTCGATGGCCAACAGTCTCGGTAGAATTTTAATTAAGCTTACCGTAAAATTCAGATGTCTTTTTTTTTAACAGCTGATTGCTGCCATGCACGGAGAGTTGCCAAGTACATTGTTTTGTTTATGGGATGTTTTTTTGCTTTGAAATTATAAAAGTACAGCTATGAAAATGATAAAATTTTGATATGATGAAATCAATAAAACTGCAAAATGAACCCTATTCGAATTGAATCTTGAAAGGTGTCAACCCTAGCCTTAGTTCGAATTTGGTTTGTGACAATGCTAAGAAAAATTAAATCGCTCGGAGTTCTGTGGCACGGCAAAAATTTTGAAGCGGAAATCCTCTGCGCGGATTCCCATTTCACTAGTGATTTCTGTGGTACCCCTGATAATATAGTAATAAACCCCGTCACGTAGCATACAGACCGTTCCTGTTCCGAAGATTTTTTCATTCAGTCTAAAATATTTTCCACATGGTGCCGAAACCCGGGAAAGTGGCAACTGTCGGTATTCTATTCTATTCTACTTTAAAATACCTTACTGGCGTGTACTAGCGAATTACGCATAAAAATTGTTCAGCGAGGCGAACAACATAAACAGCGATCAAAAAACTTAATTCAATAAAAAATCAGCGAAAACCAATATTACAGCGATGGATCCCACCTACCGATCATCTTGCCGAACACAGCTTAAAAATTTGTGCATCCAAATTGACAAATACCTAGTGAGCGATTCCACAAACGATGAAAATTTGAGCATATTCTTACATCGACTAAAAAACGCTCATAATAAATTTAAAAAAGGCTGACGAGCTAGCTTTAAGCGGGCCCGTACAAGAATCACAGAAAGAGAGATTATGAAATAATGCTTGAATACGACGAGAAATCCGTAAGTACAGTTGCCAAGTGGAATTCTTGATAAAACGTTTAGCGGAATCTCTCAAAAGTGAGAGGCAGTCAGAGATAAAAAAAGAGCACATAACACGTGATCCGAAGAAAGCCACGTGCAAGTTGCTAAGCATAAGCGAATCGATTTACGATAGTTCGATGGAGCTTTAGAAAATTGACTACCCAGTTCAAGTTCAATTTCACTATTTGAATGATGCCCTTACTAATGCGGCAGCAGCGCCTATGTCTGGAGTTATTCTAACTGAGTCTTGTTATAAAGATACTATTAGTTTGTTGCTTGAAGAATATGGAGACAAGGAGAAAATTACAGAGAAGTATAATCAGATACTTCTTACTTTAAAGAGGGTAAAGTCAGCGGACGATGTACAAAGGCTACGGCAATTATACAACGAAGCTAGAGCGTCCATCCGTACATTAATAGCATTAGGGGTTCAAAGTATTTTTTTTAAGGTTTTTTCAGAGGTAGCGCTTCTTTTTATACCGTACTCAAAAAAGAGTTAAGGGGTATATTAGATTTGTGGAAAAAGTGGATGTGTGTAACGCAGAGAAAGAAACGTTTCCGACCCCATAAAGTATATATATTCTTGATCAGCATCAATAGTCACGTCGATATAGCCATGTCTGTCTGTCTGTCTCGATGAGCGCCTAGATCTCAGAGACTATAAGAGCTAGAGATACCAAATTTGGTTTCCACACTCATGTGATATCACACTGCTACAAGTGTATTTCAAAATTTCACCCCGCCCCCTTCCGCCCACACAAAGGACGAAAATCTGTGGTATGCACAATTTTAAAGATACAAAGATAAACTAAAGATATACTAAAAACGCAGTATCGTAGAGAATGCCCATATCTACCAGATTGCCGAATCTGAATCAGATTGGATCATAATTATAGCCAGAACGAAGAAATTAATTTTCAGTTGCTCCAGAAACTTTGGAGCTCAAATTCGTTAACCAAACTTAAAAAATCATCAACATCGTCAATAAAATAATTCTACGGTATTAATATTTTGCTAGAGGTCTTAAGGGCGTCAAACAGCTTAAAATCGATCCTAGTCTTATTTTATAATGTCAACTTTTCACGTTCCAAATATCATACATATGTTTTTCTGTAAGCTATTAATCAGTTTTAATTTGAATCTTACTTTCATATTTCATAATATATTTAAATTTCAGCTTTACAAACCTTGTTTCAAGATCAACTTTGAATTCCTGACGAAAAGGAAATGCAAAAACTATCTAACCATGAAAGAAGAAACAAAAAATAATAAAGATTAAAGATCTCTGAAACATTTACTAAAATTTTTGCTTTTTTTTCTTAGGCTTACTTAAAGCGTGTCTAGCGCAAATCACTCTGTGCTACATTGGTTGTGTACTTTTTACGAGAGCAATGTTATGTTGTACCAGTTAACACGAGTTGCAGTGCATCACTCCAGCTTAGAGGCAAGCGATATCCGAGCTAGCGGATGCGCAGCCGGCAGCTGTGAAGAGGAGAAATCCGATCCTCAACATGCGCGCGACTTATGTATCCAGATGTATTTAAGCGAGCGTAATTATTACCGTAACTCCTCCCCCCTTAGTGAGAAGTGTGGCCATAATGTATAAATTGTCGAGACTTATACAGCGGTTACTAGGGATCGACTATAGAATTGGGCCAAAATTAAAAAATATAATTTTAATTTCTGTATCGTAATATTAATTTTTTTGATTACAATATGTGTGTATATTTAAAAGTAAAATTATGATATTTTTGTCTGTACTAAGATTATTTATTTATTTATTAATAGACAGTGAGGTTAAAGTTACAAACTAATAGCTAGGTATAGTACTAAATAGCGCTGGTTGCTGTGAGCTTCGGTTATGGTATTTTAATTTACCATTCTATTTCAGTTGCTGGCCGAGTTCCTAGTTTTCCAAATAAAGTCTTGCGAATTATAAATAACTTGTAATTCAGGACCCTGGACAGACTGACGCCTATCCCAGCCTGAGATAGGTCCTTACAATACAGTAATGCTACCCTTTTTAAGCCAAATTCGGAGCAAGATATTTAATATTAATTATATTGAAAGCATTCTGTTTTTCTTTAATTAAGCATTACAAAAAATAGCTCATTGTAGTAAAACTTCCTTTACGTCAAACGTGTGCATACTTTTTGTGCAAATTGTAAAAACATGTGAGGTCATTTGTAGTTCTACTAGGTGGCATCGCTTCAAAATGCCAAAACAGAACTAACAAACCATTTCTACACATTATTGCCATTGCATTTATGTCAAAAACCCCTGTTCGGCTAAGTGCAGACCCATGGCAGCACAAATATAAGCAAAGCGATCATTCATTGTAATGAACTAAATTAGCAGTAGTTATAGAAGACAATCACAAAAGACAATCTGAACGCGAAAACGAGCCCGATGCGCATCTGAGAAGCCTGCGCTGCCTCCGTAGTTCTTCGATGGCCAACAGTCTCGGTAAAAGCATTTTAATTAAGTTTACCGTAAAATTCAGATGTCTTTTTTTTTAACAGCTGATTGCTGTCATGCACGGAGAGTTGCCAGACAACTGCTAGAGTTGCCGAGTACATTGTTTTGTTTGACTCGCACGATAAGGGGTGTTTTTTTGCTTTGAAATTATAAAAGTACGGCTTTGAAAAATCAATTATTTTATAACATAATAGAAAACAATAAAAACCAATTGTATTGATATGATAAAACGGTGAGAATATTTGAAAGATGTTAAACACAGATTCTCACTGCCACTATTTACCATCCATGAAAAAACAGCTGATGCATTCTGTTCAGAGTGAGGACGGCGCTGGCGGGGCAACAGCTCTGTGGGCATTCCAGCCACACCACTGTTAGCAATCCAGCTACGCAAGCTGTTGCCCTCGCTCTCACGCTTATGAGCGTTTTTCCCCCCGGTGACGCGCTCTCGCGCGCTCAGACTTACCACACTTACGCTCCCGCCCACGCTCACGCACCCGCTCCCGCAGCCGACAGCCGTCGGCAGCTGTCTTCGAGGGGAAAATAATGCGCTTTTTCACCCCAAGCAAAACGGCCGGTCTATTTGCACCTATTGTTATAGCTAAGTGACTAAAACTACGAATAATTCTGTACATATTGACGAAATTGGACCACTGCCTATCGTCTTTATTTTGGGAATTGATCCTGGGACTTCGCAACGCCTCTCCGCTCAAACATTGGTCCTTCGAGCCGGATATACTTCACCTTCCCCAACCATATCCAGCATTCGAGCACGGCATCGCCTTCACCACCAGGATCCTAAGATAAGTACGATTTTCGTGTGCCACAAATCCCTTTCATTCGCGATTTGTGTTCCCAATTTCCGAAAAGTCCGAGCTCCACGATATAGGCACATGTATATATTCTTATATATATACTTATTTCCTCATTCTGTGGCATCCGTTATCCGTGTCTCTTCTTTTTTCGACACCGCCATATTATCGGCGATTCCGGCCGTTCTCCCGTCATTCACCTCCAACTACCAGTGATACGGTAGTTTTTTCGATTACTTGTGTCTGTCCATGATTTGCGGACAAATTAAATAAATAAAAATGAATTCAAAACAAGTGCATTCCGAGCATATGTATGTACGCACATTCCAGCCCATGAGAGCAACTTTCGTACATACACACACACCTACATCCGTGTCTCTCCAAGTGCATTCCATGAACGAACCACCCCAATAAAAATATACACTGGCACACTCCGAGTGCAACTACAATTAAAATTAAGTGTTTTATTCCTGTACCTGTACACATACCTACATTTATTCATACATTCATATATTTTTTTCCATGGTTGGCCGCAATATTCCATATTGCCGACTATAATAGCCTTTTTACACTGGGCGCGTCTGCTATCGATATCGGAATAGACGCAATGAAGCAGAAAAGGCGTTTACATTGGCAGACGCGCGTCTTGAATTTTGTTTTGGGTGCTTGATGACAAGGAAAGTAAACAAATTTTGAGAAATCAACAGAATTATGCAAGACGACAAGAAAATGGACGAAAGAGAATTGAATCTTATATTTATTTATTATTTTCAGACATTTCTTTGTAGAGCTTGTGGGAGTTCTTCTTAAAATTATTAAAACCATCGAAGTTCGTCTCCAGCAGTGTCATAATGGCATCAGGGGATCACAAAAATGTCGTATGATAATAATACAATCAGTTTCAAGTATTTTATTTCATGATTTTATGTATATTTTCACCTTTTTGCACAACCATTCATTTTAGCGCCAAAATTTGATTTTTTAACTACAAGTTTTGGTTGTTCTTAGAGGTGATAGTTGCGCTGATAGGCAGAAAAGTGCAAAAATGTGCAGTTAAGCGCAAAAGCAATCGAATATATCGAATAGACGCACATGAATCAGAGACCGACGCAACTTTTTGCCACCACTAGGGCCCTATGCTTAACCTATGTAAAAAAAACTGCGTCTTCGCCAAGACGCAAAGAAGCATGACGCAGTCCCAATGTAAACAGCCTATAAATGTACATACAATTATTACACCCCGCATAAATATACCACATTCCGTATTTAAATACTGCACACACATTCACTACATACATACTCCGCGCAAGTGCCAAATTTAATATAAAATTCGCGATTTCGTACAATTCGTGCACTCCAGCCACTTTTCACGATCGCTACCCCAACTCCAACATCCTCCACTTTCCACGGAGCACTTATGGTAATTATTTGGCAATTTCCACTGCCAATTGGCAAATTGGTGTTTCGGTCTTTTGTTGTTGTTTTTGTTCCGTGCATTAGAGGTGGCGCAATCCAAAAATATCGGTATCGATATGCGTTCGACCAAAAATAAATAAATAAAAAATAAAAAGAAAACCTTACTCTCATCTGACAATTTCCAAACAAACACACCGACACTACAAGAAATAAATTGAACGATCCACGATTTGTAATTTAAACCGTTTCGTCATCCTTTTTCCGATTTTTTCTGTTTTCCTTCGGTATTTCTCCCGATAGTTCTCCAGTGCCCACTCCGCAGTCATATTCTTGACTGTAGCTTCCGGTAACGCTTACGGCGACTAGGTTTATCTGCACTTTGTCGATCCAAACCGACATAAAGAGCAAACTATCGCCCATTCCAATCAGCTATCGAGGATATAAATGCCATTCCGTCCGCCGTCCATCCGCAAAAAACCCAGTTCTGATCACGACTGCGTCAAAGAGGTAAAAGAGGCACTAACAATATTTGCAAAATATTGCCAAAATCAGTGTGACCGGTCCTCTCCTCGGCTCAGCGCAATATAAGTCACTCATTGTTTGAGAAATTTACTTCACGGTGATCTCAAACAATCCGAGTCGACCCGACTCGAAGCTCGAGGCCTTTTTCCTGACAGCCTTCCATAAGTGGGTTATATTTATTTCCTGGCGTCTTTCTGTCTGAATTCTACTCAGATCAGTCTTCTGCCCCTCCAAGACTTCCAAATCCGATTTTCTGTGCGTGTGAGAGTTCGTAATATGCCAACAGGTCACAAGGACGGCAGCCAGCTTTTGCCTGTGACCTCTTCCAACCGGCTACGCACCTCGTCCGCCTCCGGAACTACGCCGACTCAGAAAATTAAGGCACCCCTCACTCCGAGAGCAGCCAGTAGCAGCCCTGCGGCAAGGACCAAATCGGTTCTATTTCCGTCTCCTGTCAGTCTTAAGGTTCCAGCTGTGACCAAACAATATCCGAAAGGCTCCTTTGTCAGCAGCCCCGTCAGCTCTCGCCACTGCATCACAATGGCTCAATCCGTCACCCCAGTCGCTCGGACCAAATTGGTCGCCGCTATTGGCCGACTGTCGCACCTGGCAAGGTGCAGCACCGCCGCCCCATCCGCCTCTCTGTCCGAGGTCCGTCGAGGCCAAATCCTCAGCATGTGGACGGACGTCGAGGCCGAGTACAAGGCCTACTCCGCGGTGATGACTGACGAGGATCCAGAAATCCAAGCGGACATCCGTGACACATACGGCGAATGCTATGGGGTATTTGAGCAGTGCCTCAGTGACCTCAATGCTCAACTGGCCACATCCACAGTTCTTCCTCCTTCACAGCCAGTCCAACAGGGCGGCTGTCGACTGCCTCCCGTCAACCTTGAGGTATTCTCAGGGGACTACGTCCGCTGGCCCACATTCCGGGATCTGTTCACTGCGGTCCTAGAATATCTCCGGTAGAGAAACTGTACTACCTCACCGAGAAGACCCGGGGCGATCCGAAGGCCATCGTAGAAAAATCCCCCCTCACTAATGAGTCCGCATGGTTGGCTCTCCGTAGCCGATATGAAAACTGTTTGAAAACTGCTACAAGTGTATTTCAAAATTTCACCCCGACCCTTCCGCCCACGCAAAGGACGAAAATCTGTGGCATGCACAATTTTAAAGATACAAAGATAAACTAGAGATATACTAAAAACGCAGTATCGTAGAGAATGCCCATATCTACCAGATTGCCGAATCTGAATCAGATTGGATCATAATTATAGCCAGAACGAAGAAATTAATTTTCAGTTGCTCCAGAAACTTTGGAGCTAAAATTCGTTAACCAAACTTAAAAAATCATCAACATCGTCAATAAAATAATTCTACGGTATTAATATTTTGCTAGAGGTCTTAAGGGCGTCAAACAGCTTAAATTCGATTCTAGTCTTATTTTATAATGTCAACTTTTCACGTTCCAAATATCATACATATGTTTTTCTGTAAGCTATTAATCAGTTTTAATTTGAATCTTACTT